GCCCCGCAGAGCCAGGGTCCGTGGGAGATGCAGCTCCCAGGGAGGGACAGCCCTGGTGCCCTGCACAAGGGGAGCGGGGACGTCAGCCCCACGGGTGCTCCCTGTCTGTGCCCTGGGGCCTCCTGTCCCGGCCCGTCACCGCAGCCACAGACCCGGGCGGTGTCTCCATCTCACCAAGGAAGCTAAGGAGATGTGTCCCACGTGTTGCACAAAGCTCCCCGTCACTCCTGTCCCACGGCAGGTTTCCGGACGAACCCAGAGTGTCCGGAGAGGCCGAGCGTGGGCTGGCTCAGGGAGCAGGGATGGGGAGCCCTGCAGCACGGCAGGAGCCCGGCACCAGGCAGGACACCCCAAAAATGAGGTGGGACCAAGGCAGCAGGTGGAGCAGCTCCTCCTGCCGCCCCCAGCTGCATGGATGTCAGAGGTGGTCAGGGCCAGCAGGTAGCAGTACGGTGACTTCTTTGTCCTCGTGGCCAGGCGGGACAGGGCCACGGCAATCAGGACATTCACTGCAGGAAGGAGAGCAGTGCACCGCAGTGAGACCCTGGGGCCTCAGCACTGCAGCACCAGGGTCTGAGGGTGCCCAGGGAGCAACCAGGTGCCCTGGGGTGCAGGGGGGGGACCAGGGCACAGAGTAATAAGTGTCACCCTATGGGGGACACGCTGAGCTGATCAATCTGTTCCTGGTGCCAGCTGGCACCACGCAGACCCCCTGTCCCTGCTGCTGCAGCACCCGCCATGCGGTGCTGGGGCTGCACCCTGAGGGCCAGGGCGGCCGTAGGGAGCAGGTTGGGTCCCTGCTGCACCCCCAGCCCTGCCCACGCACGAGGCACCCCCACACTCCCCGGGCGCTCACCTGGCAGCCCCAGGAGGCTGTAGCAGATGATGGAGACGATGGCCAGCAGGGTGACTGCTCCAGGTGTGCCACATCCCTGCCGCCTCGGTGCTGTTGAGTGCTGGGAGCATCTCCCTCCAGCAGGGACCAGCCAGAGACGGAGCCCCAGGGTGCCAGGCTCTGCCTGGGAACCTGGCATTGCTGGTGGGGCTCCCGCTCCCCACCTTGCAAAAGACCCTAAAACAGGGCGTTCTTGGGTGACTGCCCCACGGGGGAGACCCTGGCCCAGGCCTTGGGCCCGGTGTCACAGTAGGGCCTGCAGGGACTTAGAAGTGCCGGACTGCGGGGGAGCTGTAACCCAGTGGTGTGGGGTGTGGGGGTCTCAAGGGGAGAGGGGGAGGAAGCAGGCGGCTACAACGGGCCAACCCCGCGGGAGGACAGAGTGGGTTCTGCGCTGCCTCCCGAGCGGAGATGTGGCGGATAACGGGAGCGGGGGACGGGAAAAGGGGG